TTAAGGACACTCACGACAGATGAGAGAGAGAGAGAGAGAGAGAGACTGATATTTTATTTTTACTGTTAATAATGTATTTAATTATTTATTTATATAGCTTTTAAACGTATATTATAGTAATGGATATAATATGGACAATAGATGGTCAAGATATCCAATATGTTATGTTGCTATTGATCTTCCTTCGTCAATGATTGATTATAACATTGAACCTGATAAATCCAGTTTATTATTTCTCTCTTTGGTAAGTCTTTTTTATGTTTGATTATATTTACTTACTATATAGCTAAATAAAAAGTTATAAAGAAATCGAATATTTGTTATTTGTATTAAATATAATCCTAATGTTTCTTTTGCCAGATTAATATCCACTTTTTTGTGTGTGTTTTGAAATTTATTTTATTGGCTTATTTTTAATTCTATATTTGTTTATTTTTACTTTTAAATGTTAGGTCTGATTGATACACATANTTATATAGCTTTTAAACGTATATTATAGTAATGGATATAATATGGACAATAGATGGTCAAGATATCCAATATGTTATGTTGCTATTGATCTTCCTTCATCAATGATTGATTATAACATTGAACCTGATAAATCCAGTTTATTATTTCTCTGTTTGGTAAGTCTTTTTTATGTTTGATTAGATTTACTTACTATTTAGCTAAATAAAAAGATAAAAAGTTATAAAGAAATCAAATATTTGTTATTTGTATTAAATATAATCCTAGTGTTTCTTTTGCCAGATTAATATCCACTTTTTTGTGTGTGTTTTGAAATTTATTTTATTGGCTTATTTTTAATTCTATATTTGTTTATTTTTACTTTTAAATGTTAGGTCTGATTGATACACACAAAAATTTTCTCAATATGATTTTATATAGATTTTAAGAATTTAAAATTTCGGTCTTCTGCTGTAAAACTAGTGAAGTTATTGCTATACTTCATTAGTTGTACCTTATTTATTTAATAATAATATCTAACTTACTATGAAATACAATAAATAATACATATGAGAAATATAACACACATACACATATACTGTATTACTGATAACAGTGTTTCAAATGAAAATTAGGATAAATATGTAATATATAAAATTAAAATTGTAAGAGATTATGTGTAGATTTACTAAAGAAATCAAAATAGAATGTAATTTAAAATAAAATAAAAACTGTGTTATTATATAATAATATGAGAAGAGAAGAGAATGAAGGACAAAGAGTATTAATTGTCAGTTTTCTAAAAACATGATGAGTTAAGTTTGTGGTAAAATTGTTTCTGCTTTAATCTGCATAATGTTCAGAAAGTTTGATAAGAATCTTCAGAATAATGTTTGTGGGTTATCTAGAGAGTCTTTGTAGTGCTTTCCTGAGAATAAATAATTTGTTGTTAAACTAGGGCTGATCTCTTCAACTAATCCAGTATTTCTAGAATGAGAAGTTTAATATAGTTAGAACTATAAGACATGAATTATTTTAATAATTTCAGAATATATGGCAGAATCAGTATTAATATAAAGGAGGAATACTTTAATATAGTCAACTCATCTTAAAACAAACACTGATAAAAGCAAATTCTCGCATTAAAGTGAATTTTGCCATTGCCCTGGCAAAACACCATTGTCACAATGTTAATTTTCCTGCAATAAATCAAACAAAAATTTTACCAAAATTCACTAAATTGAACTGTAAACTCCCATGCAAACACATACCTTCACAAACCCCAAGAAATAACCCTATTTCTAATAATGGTTACTTTTACATTTTTCAACATTAACCATGTCAAAAAAGGTGAAAAATGTAACTGTAATAAATGTTCCATTTTGAGTAGAATAGATTAGTAAGCAAAGACAGGTTCAACCTCCAATTATAGAGCAATTCAAACATCTAGTTTTAGCAGACTATTCAGCTGTACTTAGAAAATAAGGTTTAAGGACACTCACCTGTTTAAATGGATATGTCTCAGACAAACACGTGTAAGTCTGCATATAGAGGAGTACATACAGTAATGCCAAATTTGGCTACTTTGCACCAGATTTGATTCCTTTTTTACTCTTTTGGCACCCAAAAAATATTTTCTACTTTTTCAAACAATCTTCAAGAGAAAAAATTCATGGATTTCTGTTAGCTTTTTTTTGTTTTGTTTTATACTCCATGCCTAAATGGTGAATACCGCATCCTCCTCATTTTGTTCGATTTGAAAATCATTTAGAACATTAATTTGTTTTTGTAAATAAATTTTATTTTATTTAACTGTTTTTAGTAAATTAATTTGAAATATTATAATTTATAGATTTTGATTGCCTATTAAGTATTAATTTCCTAAATTATACAATGTTGACCTTGACCCTGAAAATTGTTAATATGAATTTAATAGTTTAATAAAGTAAACTAACTACTGTACCCATAGCGATTTGTATTAACATGAGTAGACTGTATTAGCCTGGCGTGGAACTTGAATCCACTTTGGGTCAATTTTTTATTCCAAAATATTCTTAATTAAATTTAACATGAAATAGCAATTTAACTACCTATATCTAGTCCAAATTGCTTAATATCTGATTAGTTAATCTCATAACAGCTTGATAAGAATCTGGCTTTAACATTTGATTAGTAATATTTATTGCACTGTTAAGATTACAGCTTTATAATGAGGTTATTAAATACTCAAAATCTGAATAATTAAATAAAATATTGTTCTTTATAAACAATAGTATGTTGTAAGCTTTTAAATTCAATGATAAAAATTTTTAAAGTAATGATAAAAGTAAGTTTTTATAAATGAAATAATTCCATTTATAATTTATATTGGTAATGTTATAAATTAATTACTTTTTTTAAATAGGAATCTGTTTTGGAGTTATTGAAATCAATTTTGCAAAGTTTATATGGTGATATTCATAATAATGATCAGAATAATTCAACAAAATATGTAGGAAAAACTAAAGAGACTAATTTTGAAAATTACAAATGTGATATGATCTCAGACATAGATAATGAAACTATTGAAAGAGCTGAAATTTCTCCTGAAAAAAATAAAATTGATGACAGTAATGAAGGTTTACTAAATAATAATAAATCAAAAAGTAATCATTTACAGTTGAATGAAAGAAATAATAATAAAAATAATATCAGTGATGAAGCTGCATCAGATGCAATAATTATAAACGAAGAAAACTATCAAAATCCAAGTTCAAGAAAAGACTGTTTAATACAATCTTCAGAAAATAATAACAATATACCTAAATGCAAAGAAAAATCCTCTGATGCTACTATTGAAGATCTTGTCACTGTATGGTTAAATGATGATGACGACTTTGATGAAATCAGTAAAGAAATTGAATTAGAATTTCCATCAGAAAATGCTGATGACAATGAAATTTTACAATTGTCAAATAACAAAGATAATTCAAATTGCAAAAATATTACTAATAAAGATGATAATGCTTGCAATAAAACAATGGAAAATATAGAACAAGCAGAAAAGAATGAAAGGATTAATTGGTCTCTTGGTAATATTAGAAATGAACAAGGAAATTTTATTGAGGTAATATCATAAATTAATAATTGTACTATTTTTTTATTTTATTGTGTAATATTTTAAGATTTTATTCCACAAAGATAACGTATATATTTAAATTTCCAATATGCTAGTTTGGAAATGCTAATTTGCAAATTAGTATTAGCAGACTACAAATATATAATTGTAATAACAATAACAATTTTTGCTTAGATAAACTGATTAAAAAATTAAGAATGGACATTTTCATTTTTTATTTGTTTAAAATATAAGATAAATTATTATCTATATATATATAAATGGACGTGTGTGTCCCTATATTTCACTTTTCAGCCAAAACTACACATCACACATGAATGTTGTTTGTATGTGGTAATAGCCCCAAGTCTCCATTCGTGCACTATGGTGGTTGCGTCTCGATAGCTATAAGGGTGCGGGAGATACGGGCTTGAAAGTGGTTGAAAGTGTACGATTTTCTATTTCAATTTTAAAAATTTTCGAATTTGAATTGGTTCGATTATAGAACGATTGTAAACGTTCCAGAAAATTGATTAAATTGAAAATAGTTTGTTTGACTGGACGTAAAAATTCTCTAATTAGTCTGGAAACGGGGGCCTAATTCTTGCATTCTGTGAAAACGGGTAAGATTGGCTATAATGTAATTATCTTAATCTTCACTATCGTTACTTTTTAAAAACCCAGCGAAGCGGGTCCTTGCAGCTAGANATTGCCCTGGCAAAACACCATTGTCACAATGTTAATTTTCCTGCAATAAATCAAACAAAAATTTTACCAAAATTCACTAAATTGAACTGTAAACTCCCATGCAAACACATACCTTCACAAACCCCAAGAAATAACCCTATTTCTAATAATGGTTACTTTTACATTTTTCAACATTAACCATGTCAAAAAAGGTGAAAAATGTAACTGTAATAAATGTTCCATTTTGAGTAGAATAGATTAGTAAGCAAAGACAGGTTCAACCTCCAATTATAGAGCAATTCAAACATCTAGTTTTAGCAGACTATTCAGCTGTACTTAGAAAATAAGGTTTAAGGACACTCACCTGTTTAAATGGATATGTCTCAGACAAACACGTGTAAGTCTGCATATAGAGGAGTACATACAGTAATGCCAAATTTGGCTACTTTGCACCAGATTTGATTCCTTTTTTACTCTTTTGGCACCCAAAAAATATTTTCTACTTTTTCAAACAATCTTCAAGAGAAAAAATTCATGGATTTCTGTTAGCTTTTTTTTGTTTTGTTTTATACTCCATGCCTAAATGGTGAATACCGCATCCTCCTCATTTTGTTCGATTTGAAAATCATTTAGAACATTAATTTGTTTTTGTAAATAAATTTTATTTTATTTAACTGTTTTTAGTAAATTAATTTGAAATATTATAATTTATAGATTTTGATTGCCTATTAAGTATTAATTTCCTAAATTATACAATGTTGACCTTGACCCTGAAAATTGTTAATATGAATTTAATAGTTTAATAAAGTAAACTAACTACTGTACCCATAGCGATTTGTATTAACATGAGTAGACTGTATTAGCCTGGCGTGGAACTTGAATCCACTTTGGGTCAATTTTTTATTCCAAAATATTCTTAATTAAATTTAACATGAAATAGCAATTTAACTACCTATATCTAGTCCAAATTGCTTAATATCTGATTAGTTAATCTCATAACAGCTTGATAAGAATCTGGCTTTAATATTTGATTAGTAATATTTATTGCACTGTTAAGATTACAGCTTTATAATGAGGTTATTAAATACTCAAAATCTAATGTAATAAAGTTAAAAAAAAGTTGTTTTTTTTTTGGAGATACAAACATAACGCAACAAACATGAAATAGCAATTTAACTACCTATATCTAGTCCAAATTGCTTAATATCTGATTAGTTAATCTCATAACAGCTTGATAAGAATCTGGCTTTAACATTTGATTAGTAATATTTATTGCACTGTTAAGATTACAGCTTTATAATGAGGTTATTAAATACTCAAAATCTGAATAATTAAATAAAATATTGTTCTTTATAAACAATAGTATGTTGTAAGCTTTTAAATTCAATGATAAAAATTTTTAAAGTAATGATAAAAGTACGTTTTTATAAATGGAATAATTCCATTTATAATTTATATTGGTAATGTTATAAATTAATTACTTTTTTTTTAATAGGAATCTGTTTTGGAGTTATTGAAATCAATTTTGCAAAGTTTATATGGTGATATTCATAATAATGATCAGAATAATTCAACAAAATATGTAGGAAAAACTAAAGAGACTAATTTTGAAAATTACGAATGTGATATGATCTCAGACATAGACAATGAAACTATTGAAAGAGCTGAAATTTCTCCTGAAAAAAATAAAATTGATGACAGTAATGAAAGTTTACTAAATAATAATAAATCAAAAAATAATCATTTACAGTTGAATGAAAGAAATAATAATAAAAATAATATCAGTGATGAAACTGCATCAGATGCAATAATTATAAACGAAGAAAACTATCAAAATCCAAGTTCAAGAAAAGACTGTTTAATACAATCTTCAGAAAATAATAACAATATACCTAAATGCAAAGAAAAATCCTCTGATGGTAATATTGAAGATTGTGTCACTGCATGGTTAAATGATGATGACGACTTTGATGAAATCACTAAAGAAATTGAATTTGAATTTCCATCAGATGCTGATAACAATGAAATTTTACAATTGTCAAATAACAAAGATAATTCAAATTGCAAAAATATTACTAATAAAGATGATAATGCTTGCAAGAAAACAATGGAAAATATAGAACAAGCAGAAAAGAATGAAAGGATTAATTGGTCTCTTGGTAATATTAGAAATGAACAAGGAAATTTTATTGAGGTAATATTATAAATTAATAATTGTACTATTTTTTTATTTTATTGTGTAATATTTTAAGATTTTATTCCAGAAAGATAACGTATATATTTAAATTTCCAATATGCTAGTTTGGAAATGCTAATTTGCAAATTAGTATTAGCAGACTACAAATATATAATTGTAATAACAATAACAATTTTTGCTTAGATAAACTGATTAAAAAATTAAGAATGGACATTTTCATTTTTTATTTGTTTAAAATATAAGATAAATTATTATCTATATATATATAAATGGACGTGTGTGTCCCTATATTTCACTTTTCAGCCAAAACTACACATCACACATGAATGTTGTTTGTATGTGGTAATAGCCCCAAGTCTCCATTCGTGCACTATGGTGGTTGCGTCTCGATAGCTATAAGGGTGCGGGAGATACGGGCTTGAAAGTGGTTGAAAGTGTACGATTTTCTATTTCAATTTTAAAAATTTTCGAATTTGAATTGGTTCGATTATAGAACGATTGTAAACGTTCCAGAAAATTGATTAAATTGAAAATAGTTTGTTTGACTGGACGTAAAAATTCTCTAATTAGTCTGGAAACGGGGGCCTAATTCTTGCATTCTGTGAAAACGGGTAAGATTGGCTATAATGTAATTATCTTAATCTTCACTATCGTTACTTTTTAAAAACCCAGCGAAGCGGGTCCTTGCAGCTAGATTCTAGATTACTTAGAAAAACAGTCTTTTATATATANTCTGAATAATTAAATAAAATATTGTTCTTTATAAACAATAGTATGTTGTAAGCTTTTAAATTCAATGATAAAAATTTTTAAAGTAATGATAAAAGTAAGTTTTTATAAATGAAATAATTCCATTTATAATTTATATTGGTAATGTTATAAATTAATTACTTTTTTTAAATAGGAATCTGTTTTGGAGTTATTGAAATCAATTTTGCAAAGTTTATATGGTGATATTCATAATAATGATCAGAATAATTCAACAAAATATGTAGGAAGAACTAAAGAGACTAATTTTGAAAATTACAAATGTGATATGATCTCAGACATAGATAATGAAACTATTGAAAGAGCTGAAATTTCTCCTGAAAAAAATAAAATTGATGACAGTAATGAAGGTTTACTAAATAATAATAAATCAAAAAGTAATCATTTACAGTTGAATGAAAGAAATAATAATAAAAATAATATCAGTGATGAAGCTGCATCAGATGCAATAATTATAAACGAAGAAAACTATCAAAATCCAAGTTCAAGAAAAGACTGTTTAATACAATCTTCAGAAAATAATAACAATATACCTAAATGCAAAGAAAAATCCTCTGATGCTACTATTGAAGATCTTGTCACTGTATGGTTAAATGATGATGACGACTTTGATGAAATCAGTAAAGAAATTGAATTAGAATTTCCATCAGAAAATGCTGATGACAATGAAATTTTACAATTGTCAAATAACAAAGATAATTCAAATTGCAAAAATATTACTAATAAAGATGATAATGCTTGCAAGAAAACAATGGAAAATATAGAACAAGCAGAAAAGAATGAAAGGATTAATTGGTCTCTTGGTAATATTAGAAATGAACAAGGAAATTTTATTGAGGTAATATCATAAATTAATAATTGTACTATTTTTTTATTTTATTGTGTAATATTTTAAGATTTTATTCCACAAAGATAACGTATATATTTAAATTTCCAATATGCTAGTTTGGAAATGCTAATTTGCAAATTAGTATTAGCAGACTACAAATATATAATTGTAATAACAATAACAATTTTTGCTTAGATAAACTGATTAAAAAATTAAGAATGGACATTTTCATTTTTTATTTGTTTAAAATATAAGATAAATTATTATCTATATATATATAAATGGACGTGTGTGTCCCTATATTTCACTTTTCAGCCAAAACTACACATCACACATGAATGTTGTTTGTATGTGGTAGTAGCCCCAAGTCTCCATTCGTGCACTATGGTGGTTGCGTCTCGATAGCTATAAGGGTGCGGGAGATACGGGCTTGAAAGTGGTTGAAAGTGTACGATTTTCTATTTCAATTTTAAAAATTTTCGAATTTGAATTGGTTCGATTATAGAACGATTGTAAACGTTCCAGAAAATTGATTAAATTGAAAATAGTTTGTTTGACTGGACGTAAAAATTCTCTAATTAGTCTGGAAATGGGGACCTAATTCTTGCATTCTGTGAAAACGGGTAAGATTGGCTATAATGAAATTATCTTAACCTTCACTATCGTTACTTTTTGCCCACAAATAAAAACCCAGCGAAGCCGGTTCTTGCAGCTAGATTCTAGATTACTTAGAAAAGCAGTCATTTATATATTAAAAAAAAAAACTATATTACATACAAATGTACGAACAAATAAAAACCCAGCAAAGGTCCTTGCAGCTAGTTTTTAGAATAAATGTTAATGTGTTTTTATTGATTGATTCTAATTTTGATTTTCTACCATAAAGAAAAGACAGAAATTGTTATTTTTTCATTGTTTTCTGTCAGTTTATTCAAGTAAATTATTTCTCATTTATTGTTACTGTAGTTATGTATATATAATATTTATGTATATATAGAGTACACTTCTGATTAACTGAGATTCTGTAAAATGTGAAAAAGTAATATAGTACAACTTGCTTCATGGATCTTGATCAAGTATTTTATAAAGCTTTAGAAGTTTTAAAAAGAATTTGCTCTGGTAACTTCTAATGACAATATGAATTTTATCAAAATATTAAAGAAATTTTAATTGTAATCATTGATTTATATTTGCTTTAATCAATACATTTGTATATAAAATTTAAAATGTTTTATTACATAATTTGAAAGTTATTAAGCTCAACAAATAATTTTAGTTTAAAAATAGTATACTGTACATATTATTGCATGCAAATCCAGCTTATTTAGTTATTAGCAAGTATTCTGTGTTATCAGAATCTTTGATTATCTGAGGTACTCTTAATCTGTAGTAGAGAGGTTGCAGCTGACATTTTCATTGCGAAAACGTGAACGTCGGACGTTCAGTGCCTCCCTCCTGTAAGCCTAGATGTTTGACAATGGCATTTGAAACGTCAGTGGAATCATGCTCGACGTTCCAAATGCCATTGTCAAACTTCTAGGCTTACAGGAAGGTGGTGTTGAACATCCGACATTAATGTTTTTGCGATGAAAACATCGGCTGCAACCTCTCTATTATTTTGGATAATTGAATTCTGCTGTATATATGTTTCTTAAAATTTATCCATATTATATACATAACATTTATAATATTTTCATATTATCTTATTATCAAATTGTTTAGAATTANAGCCTGTAAAATTATTTATTCCATCAACAAAGAAAAGAACTTTAGAAGATTCTTCAAAAAATTCCACTAAATCAAAATCTCCTGTTAAAAAACAAAAGAGCATTAAAAACACTTTGGACCAACTTTCTGTCTCTGATATGTTTATTAGTCAATCAAATGAAAAATTTGTTACTCCATATACTTTATTTTGTAGAGATAAGAAACATGAAGGTCAACATCACTTCCTACTTTCCTATCCAAACTTGCCACACGACGTCATGAAATCCCTAAGTGTGTGGTGCAAAGGACTCCTATTGCACAGGAGCTTGACATTCTGTTGTTTTTCCTGAAGAGTGCTTTGTGATTAAATTTCATACTGAATGTTGAAATAAGCAGACTAAGTTTATTTTGCCAGTAATATGTTTTTATTGCCACTTTAATAAAAATATTGCCAAGTGGTTTTGGTGGTATGCAGCATTACTCCTGTAGTTTACATAACTATTGTTATATTATTAATTTCAGACAAAATCTATTTAGTATGTATTAATATATCAAGATTAATCAAATGTAGAATTGATGTTGAGAAGTTATTTGTTATTGCTGAGAAATAAATATTTTCTCAACATCAATGTATTTATTTAAATATGTAAATTCTATGTCTAATAATAACTATCAATCATTTTCAAAACCAAATTTGAAGAAATGATATTGAAAATGATTTATTCATTTTGTCGAGGCAAAATGCCTGTGAGACAACTTGGTTGATGTAAAGTTTTAATAATTGATATAATGATTGAATAATTTATTTATTTATTAGTCAATACAAAATGCAATTGATTAATGCCCTTCAAAAATAGTATATTATTTCTAAAAATGTACATTTAACAAACTTATAGGAAAAAATAAACATAAATAGTATAAATAAGATACAGTGTACTCTCAATTATTCATGAACAGAATATTCATGCAGCAGCTTTTTTTTTTTTTATGCAAAATTGCACAAACAAAAATGGTGCTAACTACACAAAATTTTCTTTTGTTTAAACAAAACAATGCCATTTAGTGGAAAAATGAACTAAAGTTTGTAGAAGTTTAGGATCAATGTCTTCATATATCCCGTTAGGGTCATGCGATCCAGTTCTGTACAAGACTGTGGCATTTAAAGCCTTAATCAGAAGAGTCTTTACACATTCTTCTAACATCCATGCTCGTGATACTGAGCTAGTGTCTATAGAGTGGGTAGCTGCAGAACATGGTTATCGCAAAGTTATACATAGGATGATAGAATGTTATCACCAAATGTATTCGACAGCACACAGGTGGTGGTCCAACCAATTGATAACCAACCAGAAGACATGAAACGGATTCCCATCATCTATAACCCATATTTAAGATCAAACTATTGAAAGAGCTGAAATTTCTCCTGAAAAAAATAAAATTGATGACAGTAATGAAGGTTTACTAAATAATAATAAATCAAAAAGTAATCATTTACAGTTGAATGAAAGAAATAATAATAAAAATAATATCAGTGATGAAGCTGCATCAGATGCAATAATTATAAACGAAGAAAACTATCAAAATCCAAGTTCAAGAAAAGACTGTTTAATACAATCTTCAGAAAATAATAACAATATACCTAAATGCAAAGAAAAATCCTCTGATGCTACTATTGAAGATCTTGTCACTGTATGGTTAAATGATGATGACGACTTTGATGAAATCAGTAAAGAAATTGAATTAGAATTTCCATCAGAAAATGCTGATGACAATGAAATTTTACAATTGTCAAATAACAAAGATAATTCAAATTGCAAAAATATTACTAATAAAGATGATAATGCTTGCAAGAAAACAATGGAAAATATAGAACAAGCAGAAAAGAATGAAAGGATTAATTGGTCTCTTGGTAATATTAGAAATGAACANGGTGTCCTACTATTTTTAACATCTTACATAATAGGAAGAACCCTCCTAGAAGATCTGGAGTCTATAGTGTCCCTTTAAGAGATAATAGATTCAATAGGGACTTTATATATATAGGCTCTACTAAACGGTCCGTGGGCATCAGAGTGCAGGAACATCAGGCTGATATTCATCACGGGAGAACCTCCACGGCCCTCTCTACTTACGTAACAGACCCAGACACAGTAGCCAACTTTACTCGGGCCAAGCTCCTCCTCGCTGCACCTCCCAATAAACATCTCAAATGGTTAGAGGCTATGCACATCTTTAAATCCTTCATCACAACCACGTGCATAAATTTTAAAGAGGAAATGCTTTTGTCAATGGCCTGGCAAGAGTTGATTTACAGCACGCTCTAGCCGCTCGTTGTCTCCGGGCAGGCTAACCCGTTGCGCATGTGCGACGTAAATTGTTTGTAAATCATTTCAAACTCAAGATCGAACTCTTAGTTAAACGGCATCCATTAATCAAATTTTTTCATCTAAAAACTGTTAGAACTTGATGCAGAGCCCAGAAGGGGTTTGAAAATGTTTGTTTCTCTCAATATTTTTCAATGTTACCACACCATAAATTCGTTCTGTGTGCATAAATTTTTTTTCCTAGAAGTTTCTCTTGTTTAGCAGTGATGATTACAACCCATTAACAAAAATAGAGTAATGTAAATCAGCATGACAATGAATTGGCTCACTGAAAAATATTCAGCCTACTTGGCAATCTGAAACTGTATCATAAAGTATCATAAAGTGCTCAGCAAATAAATAAACAGAAACAAAACACCTTTTTTGTTGCCGAGAAATACATATAATTGAAAAAACAATTGGCTCACAGTAGGGATTTGAAGGTAAAAATCACTGAGGACAGGGCCCAGTTTTATTTCCTTCTAAGAAATATGTATTGGATTATCTCTGTTTTTTATTTTCTTTGCCTATTCCCCCATCCTTAATCCAGATAATCAGGAGTATACTAAACATACAAATAAAATAAGACAAAGTATAGAATATAAAAAAGGTTATGACACAACAAAGTGATATACAAGCATAGCAAGTAAAATACATTGTAAAAATAAAAGTAAAAATTGCAATGGGAAAGTATGTCACAGTTTTTTAAATTAGAATTTAAAATGAGTAAAATTATAAAATAAAAGTTAACAACAAAAATGGTGCAGTAAAAAAACAAATATCTTGATAAACTAAGTTGAAAATTTGATACAAATAGGCAGGAAGTATTTCAAGTAATTCNAAGTTATACATAGGATGATAGAATGTTATCACCAAATGTATTCGGACAGCACACAGGTGGTGGTCCAACCAATTGATAACCAACCAGAAGACATGGAATGGATCTCCATCACCTATAACCCATACTTAAGATCTATATACACCAAGGTTGCCAGGAAGTGCCAGATGCATCTTACAAAAAACCTTTTGTAAGATGTATCTGGCACACATTACTTTCACCTGGGAAAAAGAAAAGGAAAATGAAATTGCGTTCTTGGACCTAAAAATTAATAAATCCCGAAATAGCACTACATACTCTGTATTCCACAAATTCAGTGTTGTACCTCCTCTAATCTCGGCTACGGCATATCAACCGCAACATTACGTCAATGCGGCAATTTCACCTTTAATAAGAAGGGCCTTCCTCTTATCATCCAACCAGGCGGCTATTGACACCGAACTTAATATTATCTACCAAGCAATAAATGAGGCGGGTTACAGCAAAGCCAAATTTAATTACATCTTAAATAAGGTAAAAAATCACTCTTTCCTGCCACCATACTACACCGTCCGAAGGAGTCCACAATAGTCCTGCCTGCGATACCATTTTCTGGCCGTGTCACCCTCCGTATTTGTCGTATTTTTAGGCGACATGATTTGTTTCTGCCGATCTCTTCGCGGCCGAATCTTAGAAGGTTGCTGTCCAACGACAGGGATCCTTTAACCACCATCGAAAAATCGGGGGTTTATTCAGTCCCATTAGAGAATGATTTAGGCGGACGCACCCATTATATTGGTGCAACAACCAGAATGTTAGCTAACCGTATTTTAGAGCATCAATATTCCATCAGGGAAGGCAGGAATGACACAGAACTCGCCAGAATGGTGCTACAACACAAGCATACCCCTCTGTGGAATGATGTGATCATACTAAAACATTGCAACAACAAAAATCTTATATATATCTGGGAAGCCCTCATCACCAACGTATTAAAGCCCTGCAACACCCCCACACTGGATTTGCCCCCTTTGTGGATCAGCCTGTACAGTTATATAAAACATCGCAACTAAATCCACAATATAGAGGCATCTAATGCATGCGCAGTATAAACGCACGTGTTTTTATTTAAATATCTTTTTTTATATTCTACCGTTGCTAGTATTCCAAAATGTTAAATAAGATTGGAATGTTTTAAAAATTTTGTATTCAAAAAAGGTTCTTATATCTTCTAATGACTTGAAGAAGACGAAAGTGTGTATTGTCGAAAGCGCTCGTCAATTTAGTCAGATACATCTTGCTTTCAGGAGGTGTCCTACTATTTTTAACATCTTACATAATAGGAAGGACCCTCCTAGAAGATCTGGAGTCTATAGTGTCCCTTTAAGAGATAATAGATTCAATAGGGACTTGATATATATAGGCTCTACTAAACGGTCCATGGGCATTAGAATGCAGGAACATCAGGCTGATATTCATCACGGGAGAACCTCCACGGCCCTCTCTACTTACGTAACAGACCCAGACACAGTAGTTGACTTTACTCAGGCCAAGCTCCTCCTCGCTGCACTTCCCAATAAACATCTCAAATGGTTAGATGCTATGCACATCTTTAAATCCTCCATCACAACCACATGCATAAATTTTAAAGAGGAAATGCTTTTGTCAATGGCCTAGCAAGAGTTGATTTACAGCATGCTCTAGCCACTCGTTGTCTCTGGGCAGGCTAACCCGTTGCGCATGCGCGATGTAAATTGTTTGTAAATCATTTCAAACTCAAAATTGAACTCTTAGTTAAATGGCATTCATTAATCGAATTTTCATCTAAAAACTGTTAGAACCTGATGCAGAGCCCAGAAGCGGTTCGAAAATGTTTGTTTCTTTCGATATTTTTCAATGTTACCACACCATAAATTGGTTCTGTGTGCATAAATTTTTTTCCCTAGAAGTTTCTCTTGTTTAGCAGTGATGATTACAACCCATTAACAAAAATAGAATAATGTAAATCAGCATGACAATGAATTGGCTCACTGAAAAATATTCAACCTACTTGGCAATCTGAAACTGTACCATAAAATATCATAAAGTGCTCAGCAAATAAATAAACAGAAACAAAACACCTTTTTTGTTGCCGAGAAATACATATAATTGAAAAAACAATTGGCTCACAGTAGGGATTTGAAGGTAAAAATCACTGATGACAGGGCCCAGTTTTATTTCCTTCTAAGAAATATGTGTTGGATTATCTCTGTTTTTTATTTTCTTTGCATATTCCCCCATTCTTAATCCAGATAATCAGGAATATACTAAACATACAAATAAAATAAGACAAAGTATAGAATATAAAAAAGGTTATGACACAAAAAGTGATATACAAGCATAGCAAGTAAAATACAAGGTCTGTTCAAAAAGTATCGGACCTTATTTTTTTCCGCGTAAACCAATGATGCGAGAGAGGCCTCCTTCGGTGGAGTTGTGGAGGGGACAGTCATGCACAGCCCTGAATTTTTTCCCGCCTGCAGAAAGCGTCAGTCGTTGGCAATCGGCGTATGAGTGAGGTCATGTAGTGCGCTCTCGTCGGATTTCACTAAGCTGGAAAATGACTGAACAACGTGAGCAGCGATATTACATCAAATTTTGCCAAAAACCTTGGCGATACCC